TATTTTTTTTTTTTTTTTTACATTGTTTATCTTGGCTGGGGAATCTTGATCATATTAGGATTCATATTATAAAATATCACAAATTGAAAAAGAGATATCGTTACAATAATCATCAAACATGCTTACTTATAAACCAGAATTTGTTTTAACACACAGAACCAAGGATCCCTACAAAGAGAAAAACTTATGTCTTCTTACCTTTGTTTCTCTTTAAGATTCTTATGCTTTGCTTCTACATCTTCCAAAGCTTTCTCTAATATATTCTAGAGAAGTTCATTTGGTTTGGGAGAGAACATAAAGTTGACAAAAAGAGAGCTGACATCCTGTTATCCAAATATTTCAAGGGTAGCAATAACAGCTCACATTGCCTAATGCATGGTACATTTTTAATAGATCCTTGGTAAATTTTAAGTTCCAACAGTTAGAAACAAAACCAAATCCCAATCCACTATGCTCTTGTTGCATGTATTTAGATGTACCCTCAGGCTTTCAGACAAAGAATCTTCACTCCCCACAATGGCATAATGGCTTTGGCACAAACTACAGGAAAACCTAGGTGAGTTATTTAATATACCTAGGATCTGGGCTTTGTGAGAACAGAGAATGTTCAACTATGTAATCACTGACTTCTATCATTAAAAACAGTAATTAATAAATTTTTGTTAGTAGTCAGAAAACCCCTTCATGTCAAGTTCAGGATGCCTCTAGTATTTCCTCTGTCTAGGTGACCTCATCGATTGGCTTTTCCTTTTCAGAGCATTACAGTATCCGTGGCCAGCTGTCTTTCATATCTAGTCTTTTAATCTGCTATACTGGCTCATTCACTACCCTATCTCTAGTGCGCTTGTTCTAACCAAGCAGAAAAGGAATAAGTCAACAGGATTGCTCTCACAAATAAGCACAGACTTTGATGTGAAAGGCAGCCACCTCCTTGGATGTGTACACTGCCGATGGAACACGATTAGCACCCTCTTTCAGGTAAAAGAAAATGGAAAATGATTGGTAAATATTCCATTCGAATTCAACTACCTGCAAGCATTTAAGAGGTCAAAAATTCAGGTCATTCTACTTTGCTCTCTTCTCTGCACTAAATTAACCTGGGCACTTAAGAGCAACAGAGCAAACTGGTCAAAGATATCCCCATCCTTCCTGGCAGTGCACTCTCATTAGGCCTACAGAGCAGAGGGGCAGTGAAAGGAGCCAGCTAAAGCAAGAAGAAAGCAAGAGTCTTGACTCCCAAATACAGAAAGTAAAGGGAACTGATTTCTGAGAGACAAAATAGAAAAAAATTTAAACCATGAAAAATTCAATTGCAATGAGATAGGTTTACCTTTACCTTAAAAAAAAGTGAAAGGAAAGAAAGTAAGAGAACATGGAGGAAATCATGGATAGATTCAGCTCTAGGGCACTTTGACTTCATGCTTTACTCATGACCCTTAGATAGGCCAGCTCCTTGTCAGCCACGTCCCTGATTCTTAAAAGTCTAGGGAAAAATCACTGAAAGGATTCACATATTTAGTCTGTGGAAGAGGATGAAGGAAAGGTGACAAAAAGCATTCTTTCTTCATATTCCTACTCATCCCTTTGTAACAAGCAAATAGATAAACTTTTTGATTTACCATGGTTCAAAGCTTTGTAACATATTCTTAGCAAAAGTTAGTAAATTTACAATATATGTCTTGCAGCAATACTCTTTTTCTCTTAGCTGAAATGCACTATAATAATAATAGTTCTTTATAACTTATCCTACTAGTGGGCACATTGGAAGAAATACAGAGGATGTTTATGAACTGTGTGGAGTAACTTATAAGAAAAGAGCTTTGTAAGCTGGATGCATTGTTATTAATATTCATAATTACGGCATATAACTCTTAGCACTAGAAAGAAGAATCGCTTATTAGTCCTCTTCTTGCTTTCCCATTTATTTAGGTTCACGGATTGCTATAATTTGAAAAGATACTTTCAAGGAAACTTGATAGGCTACGTTTTTTCTACTAGCTTTTCATTATTTTCTCCTTTTCTTGCATGACTTCCTTTTTCATTTTAAAGAAATTGGTTGTTAGGCACTTCCTCACTCTCCCAAATTCACCAGATATTTTGTTCACTTCTGCTCTTGGCGTCAGCCATCTCCCTATTCGCTGGGCTTCCTCTCCTTCCCCTGTCCTCAACAGCTGTTTGCCTGTGATAAAATCAAACTAATCTTTAATCTTTTGAGCCTATCTACACTTAAAAGTGTAAGAAGTAGATGATGAGAGAGGACTATGAACAAGAAAAGCCAGTGACATGGGTGCCATTTAAGACCACACTTTACAGGGCGCACCTGGGCAGAAGATGAAGCAGTTCTGTCAGGCTGGTTTACTTTGATTTGCGCTTCTTTCAATAAGAGTTCAGCTGGAAGTAGAAGCAAAATAGTTATAGTACAGTGAAATTCTTTCAATCAATTTTAAGAGAGTGCCTTTGATACACATAGACATGACCAGTGAGAATGACATACAGATCGTGATCTCAGAAAAATCCTATGTTCACGTCAGAGCTCTTAGGCATTTTTTATCTTCTATCAGGCTTCCTCGTAGGTGTGACAATTTATAACTTTACATGCACAAATTCAAAAGTATGAGTCAACCTTTGGTCATCTAAAAATGTTATAGAATCTATAAAATGTAATGTAGAACTATTCTCACTCCCAGATGACTGAGGAAGGGTAGGTTTGTCTTTGCTGTAGGAAGAGTATATAAAAAATTCCTCATAAGGGCTGGGGATTTAGCTCAGTGGCCCTGCGCCTGCCTCACAAGCTCAAGGACCTGAGTTCAAAAAAAAAAATTCCTCTTTTTTTTTAAATTCCTCTTAAAGTAAATGTAACGTTGACCTCTAATATGATCTGACAGTATCGTGACTATGAAGGTTCCTAATATATACCAATTAATTCCAAGTATGTTCAAATTCATACTTAAAATGTACATCCTTTAACCCAGCGATGAAAAGACTTGCTATGTAGTTCTACAGAGGTAGGACCTAATGCCTACAATGTCCAGAGCAGTGCATGTCTCAGAATAAATGCTGAATTAATGTTTGCTGAATGAATGAACAATAATGACGTGGGCCACTGGTGATCACATACCAATCTTCATGGCTTCCTGCGCCTTTTTAACTTCATTTTTAAGTGTTCCTTTAAAAGAAGATGTGGCATACAAATACTTTCTGGAAAGGAAAAAGAACATAATCAAGTCAGATTTTCATTTTAAAATATGTAAGTCTTTAGTAAGATTATATATTCCAGGGATATGTAATTATTAAGAAAGACTCATCAAGCAAGTTATATCCAGGTGATAAATTAGTAAACTTTATACCTAATAAGAAATCCTTTGCCTTTTAATACTTGGTAATTTTACTTATGCAAAGGAACTTTAGAGGTGAGACAAGAAAATCTCTGCCCACACACATGTTCATTTATACATATGAAATAGAGTAATTTTCTTAAAAGAAAAACATTATGCAACTGCTTCACTGTCAAAGTTTCTGGTTAATATGTGTAGCCCTCTTCCTCAGATCATCACTGACACTGGATAAACTGCTTCTCCCAGTCCCCAAACAATTATCGTTAAGTGAAATGCTCAAAAATGCACATTAATATGTCATTTTAAACTACTAAAAGCACATTTCCTGCTTTATTGCTCAAGAAGTTTTTGTTTTCAGGATACATTGTTTTAGTGACAGAAAAGATAGTCTAGAAAAATCAAGGAAAAAGGAAAATGAGCATGTGTATGTATCTATAAATGCAAAGAGAACAAAATATAGGTAAGAAAAGCTCTGTAGATCAGAAGATGCCTAAATGCCATTAAAACTAGAGAGTCCCTGGAGTCAAGCTTTAAAATATTAGTTTAATCATTATAGAAAGAAACATTCCAGAATAATATTTGTTTTGAGAATGCCCAAAGCTTTGTGTGTGTCATTTTCTTCCTTTGTGTTCTACTCTTGTACAAGCAGGAGACTCATGGTCCCCCAATGTCTTCAGTGTTCAGAATGGTGGACTGCAGGTCATTTTATGTGTCACCTAGAGTGGGCTGAAGGGTGCCCAGATGGCTGGTAAAGGACTCTTTCTGGATGTGTCTGTGAAGTTTCTGGAAGAGATTAACATCTGGTAGACTGAGTGAAGAAGACCCTTCCTCCCCACTGTGGATGGGCACTAACAACCCATCGAGGCCTGGCACAGAGAAAAGGGTGGAGGAAGGCTGATTCAACCCCTTCTTGAGCTGGGAAATCCACCTTCTACCCTAGAACATCAGAATGTGTGGTTCTCAGGCCCTTGTATTCAGGCTGAACTATGCTACCTTCTTTCCTGGGCCTCTAGCTCATAGAATGCAGACCATAGGACTTCAAAGCCTTCATACTTATGTGAAGTGATTCCCATAACAACGTCTCCACTATGTGCTACTGATTCTGTGTCTCTGGAGAACCCTGAATAACAAAGGTATTGGAAGTTTTAGCAAGAGGCAAGCAGACAATTGTAGACCATTTCTTGAAGTCAAAACATTGTAAGATATAGAAAAAAGTATTTGTTCAGGCAGAAGGGAGAGTCTAGATCCATATATTCCAATGAGACTCCACCAGAAACAGGCCAAATAGACCCCATGGATCAAAGGGAGCGACTGGCTTCTTCTGGTATAGCCTCAAACCTAATAGTGGTTTTTTTCCCCATTTTTTAAGGGTTTTAAAAATGAATGAGAAAATGTGGAAGGACAGAATATGCCCATATGTCTATTATCAGGTCCTTTTAGAGAAAAACTGCTAATCTAGCAAGTATATATTAATAGCCGTAGCTTCAGCTTTAGGGTTTTTTCACTATTTAATTTTATTATTTCATGGTGCTGGAGATTAAACCCAGGGCTTTCTGAGCACTAGGATACACTTTCCTATTGAGCTACATCCCTTGGCTCTGATTCTACATTTTAAAGTATATATTACAGTAATATTTAATATATGAACTTGTCCAAATGAAACCACAGTCCACTTGAAAGCATTTTGATCACCCCGAAAAAGGAAGTGGCCACACATCTTCCCATAACTTCTCAATACCAGCAGGCTTTGGCAACCACCAAGCTTTCTTCATTAATATCATTTTTCAATTTTTCTTAGTACGTGTTTGCAGTACATAATAATTATATTCACTGTAGAGGACTGGTACATGGACATAACATACTTCAATTTCCTTCTTCCCCCCAACCCTCTTTTATTTTTTTAGCATCAAATTCATTTATTTATAAGACCTTATAAAGTAAATTATCATATATACTGATTGAAAACTAGACTTACAGGCCAAAGAACATATAAAGCAGGTAGAATAATTGTACTAATTCAAGGTACACTTTTAGATAAACTGTCTGCACTGTATTACACCTCTTTTTCTTTTTTCCTATTGTCTTATATAGAAAAAAAGACAGATATATGAGTTTCTCGTATCCGAGAAACCATGTGACATTTAAACTTGTGTGTCTGAGTTACTTTACTTAACACTATGGTCTCAAAGTGCATCCATTTTCCTACAAATAACTTAAATTTATCATTTTTTATTGCAGAGTAGTACTCCATTTTAAATCCATTCATCTGTTGATGGACACATAGACTGTTTCCAAGACTTAGCTAACATGAATGGTGCTGCTGTAAACTTGAGTATGCATACATCACTGCAGTATGTTGTATTTAATTCTTTTGAGACGATACTGAGAAGGTAAACAACTCGGTAAAATTGAATTTCTACTTTTTAATTTTTTGAGGAATCTCCATAGTGATTTCCATAGTGGTTGTATCAATTACACTCCCACCAACAATGGAGAAGGATTTCTTCCTTCCCACAGCCTCACCAGTATTTGGATTGGTTGATTTCTTGAAGACAGCCACTACTTCTGGAATAAGATGGAGTATGTTATTTTAATTTGCCTTTCTGAATGGCCAGTGATGTTAAACATTTTTTCATGTCTTTATTGATTGCTAGCATTTCCTCATCTGAGAAGAGTCTTCTCATTACAGATGCCCATTTTTTAATTGGATCTTTACATTGGGGGGCTCTAATTTTTTTGAGTTGTTTATATAGTCTAGATATTAGTTCTTTGAGGAGTAGCTGGAAATTTTTTCCCCATTTTATAGGTTGTGTCTTCACTCTGTTAGTGTTTCCTTTGTTGTGCAGAGGCTTTTTAGTTTTATGTGATCCTACTTCTTAATTCTTTATTTATTTTTCCTCATGAGTTTATTGGTACTTTTTAGGTATAGAGTACAGTTACATTCATCACTGGGATCCTGTACCTTTACATGACAGGTCTTGGTTCTCATTTTTTCCCCTTGTCCCTGCCCTCCCTTCACACCCCCTCCTCGCCTCCCCCTTTACCAACACTTCATTTCCATTTTCTCATATTTTTTTTCTTTTCCCTTATTACCTTTCCCCTACCCTTCCCACTTTCCCCACACCTTTAGATACTTTCTTCCCATTTCACATTGTCAATTACATCATTAGGATCTTATGTACTATTATAGTTTATTCTTGGTATTCTTTTATTTATTTTTTTTTTTTGGTACTGGCGATCAAACTCAGAACCTTGCACTTGCGAGGCAGGTGGTGGAACCACTGAGCTAAATCCCCAGCCCTCTTGTATTATTTCTTGGGCAAATGATATTTTTTTCAGAAAGTCTTTGCCTATACCCATGTCTTTGAGAGTTTTACCTATTTTGTCTTCCAGCATTTTATTTTATACTAATTTTATACTAATGTTCAGATGTTTATCCATTTTGACTTTAGTTTAGTACATGGTGAGAGATACAGGTTTATATTCGACCCTTAGCATGTGGATAGCCAGTTTTCCCATTTGTTAAAGAGGCTAGCTATTTTTCCTTCAACAAAGGGATTTAGCCCCTTTGTCAAAAAATAACATAGCTGAGTGTTGCTGGAGGTGTTTCTATATTTTCTATTCTGTTTCATTGATCAGTGAGTCTGCTTTGTTTTTGTTTCTTTGTTTTTGCCAATACCATGCTGTTTCTGAAGCATTGTAGTACAATTTGAAGTCTGGAATTGTGATTCCCCTGCCTTGCCCTTGTTGCCTAGAATTGCTTTTGCTCTTCTAGTCTCTTTTAGTTCCATATAAATTTTAGGTTGCTTTCTTCAGTTCTGTAAAAAATGTTATTGGTATTTTGGGGGATTGCATTAAATCTATGTAACAGTTTTGGGAGTATGACCATTTTTATACTGGTTCTGCCTATCCAGAAACAAGGGATATCTTTCCATTTTCCGATATCTTCTTTAATCTCCTTTTCTAAGAGTACTGTAGTTTTTCTTTGTAGAGTTCATTTCCTTCGTTAGATTAATTCCTATTTCACTTTTCTTGATGCTATTGTGAAAGGTATTTTTTCTATAATTTTCCTCTCAGTTTGTTTGTTATTCATTTGCAAAAATGCTATTGATTTTTAAGTAGTGACTTTGTATCCTGCTACACCATCAGATTTGGGTATTAGATCTAGGAGTCTTCAGTGGAGTTTTGGGGGTCTTCTATGCAGAGAATCATGTTATCAGGAAGTAATAATAATTTATCTTTTTCGATCCTTATCCATATCCTTTTTATTTATCTTACTGCTACAGTCAATGTTTCAAGAACAATATTAAATAGAAGTGGTGATCACGAACATCCTTGACTTGCTCCTGATTTTAGAGTGAAAACTTTCAGATTCTCTCCACTTAGAATGATGTTGGCTGTTGGTTTGATACAGATGGCTTTTATCAGTTTGAAGTAAAGACCTTCTATTTCCATTTTCTTCAGTGTTTGTATCATACATGGATGTCGGATTTTGCCAAATACTTTTTCTGTGTCTGTTGAGACAGTCGTATGATTTTTGTTCTTATTTCTGTCTATGTGGTGTATTACATTTATTGATGTATGTTTGTTGAACCATCCCTGCATCCCTGGAATGAACCCTACTTGGTCATGATGAATGAGCTTCTGATGATCTGCTGCATTCTGTTTGCCGATATCTTACTAAAGATGTTTGCATCTGTGTTCATTAAAGAAATTGGCCTGTAGTTCTCTTTTTTGATTGGGTACTTTTCTGGTTTGGAATCAGGTAATATTTGACTCCAGGAAAGACTCTGGGAGTACTGTTTCTCCTTCAATTTCATTAAAGAGTTTGAGGAGTACTGGCATTAGATCTCTAAAGTTCTT